ATACTACTTGAAGTACATTTCATTTCAGAAATTCTATACGTTTTCAAAAACAAAATAAATTCTATATACAATAAAAAAATACAAATCACAAATAAAATGAAAAAAATCTTATATCTGCCCCTTTTTTCCAATAAAACTAAATTCAAACAATAATAATTTACAAAAAAAGCGACATGAAGTTAACAACCCGTAAACTTTAGGAGCACAATTATAAACATGTAACAAAAAGAAAAGTTAACTTTTAAAATGAACATCAGCTGAACTGAGACAATTTATCCAAGAAATAACTAACATCTTCATTAACATCTCAAAGGGAGGAAATACAAGAAACATTCAGTAGAAGTTTCTGCTTTAAATAACTTTCCTCAAGTTTGTTGTGAATATTTATTCAATGTAAACTCCAAAATGAAAGCACAACTGTTTTTGTCTTGTTATAAACTCAGATTGTCTGCAGTTGTGACTTAAACGTCTCAGAAATGTGTTTGTGTTTAAACAAACGTTCGTTGCCTCTGTTGTTAATATTTGAGACAATAATCAGCCATTCTGAGCTCCACCACGTTCTTACTTTTCCTCCACGGCTCCGTCTAGAGTTTGAGAAAGAGCCCCGACAAAACTTTTCTGCCAACGAAGGGGTAAAAGGGCAAAGGTCAAGAGAGGAGAAGCAGCATGGTAAATCTAAAATAAAGAAAGTGCTTGAACTTTAAAGGTTAACTCCTTCACCTCCCTTTAGGCAGTAAATCAGGTTTTAGAGCTTAAAGCTGTGAAAAGCAACAAAACATCAGCGTTTAAAAGGAAGTTCTACAGCGTGGGAGCTCTTACCTATTGGAGAAGGAGGGAATGAGAGGGGAGGGTTGGAGGACTTTGCTGGAGGTGATGGTATGTGTGGGTGAGGTCTGAGGGAGGTTTGAGCCCGRTGGAGAAACTATCAGTTCATAGAGGGAAAGAAGCACATTAGAGGAGTTTTCAAGTCTTTTACATCATAAATAACATCAAAAAAGAGGAGATAGRAGAGAAGTGAAACGACAAGGATGGAGGAACTGTGCGTGTCTCACCAAATCCATGAGCTCCGGAGAACTGAGTCAAGTCAGGCTCATCTTCCTCCAGGTCGTTCAGGCTGTAGACGTGCTGAATGTCCACCTCCAGCTCCTTGAAGTCTTTCGTCAGGACTCCAGGACGCGGGTGGAGAATGCCTCCCAGGTTTGGTTTGGCCAGCTGCTGCCAGTGGTGCAGAGTCACCGAGCCTGAYGACAAGCACAACTCCAATGTGACAAAAACAATGACTTCCTGGAGACGCAACTCCACATGTTGTTTTGTGCTTTCATTATTGGCTCTATGGCTGTTACCTTCAAGAGGTTTAACAATCTGCAGCCGGTCGGGCAGGTAGGACCGGGACCCCCCCGATGAACCACAGGAGTGGCGTGAGCTCCCGTTGGAGTAATTGGTGCCCGTCGACGCGTCGGAGCTGGAGGCCAGGCTGTCGTTTGGGGTCTGGAAGCCACTGGAGCCGTCTCCCTCCTTGCAGTTTGCAGCCAAGGCTCGGAGCTTCCGTTCCCGCTCCACGTCAAAGAACGGCCGGTCYGAGGAGTGGTTCTGCTGGCGGGCCGAGAGGCTGTGCAGAGCAGCTTCCAGGTCCGGGCCTCCGGGCGTGCCCGGCTGACCCAGACGTTTGGGTCCACCAACACTGCAGGTGGGGGAAAGGTAACATTTGTCCCACCACGCACGCAGGTATTAAACCAAACTTCAGGCATCTGGCCGACCTCACCTGTTGTCGTCTTTCTGAGCAGGAGTGGAGCTGGGTTTGTCCTCCAGGTTAATGCTGGTGCTGTCGGAGCCGTAGTAGCTGGTTCTGGGAGTGCTGGTGCAGCTGGAGCGRGCCGACACCGGGCTGGAGCCTGGCAGTCCTGGTGAGTGGCACCGAGAGCGCATCCTGCCGGCTTTGTTCACCACTTTCACCGTTTCGAACACACGCCACGGATGGCTCCTGTTGAGGAAAAGCAACTTAAATCTGTGCACTTAAACTGAAGATTAAAAGCCTTTACACATTTTATTCAGCAGTTTTTCAGTGTTTGTTGAAGACGGACTCACTTGTACTCTGAGGGAGTCGGGGAGTCCAGGCCTTTACGAAAGGTTCCTTCTATCTCAGCTGCCAGAGAGTCCATGGGGAGGACAGAGGCCAGAGCAGTGTACCTCTGCACCGTGCTGTTGGGCAAACTCTTGTTTCGCAGATTTTTGATGTCTTTTTGTGCCTCGTGGAGCATGTCCTCACACTCAGAGTACTTGTCCTGCAAGTCTTTGAGCTGCAGACACAGATTCATCATTCAGGAATCCATGAATATAAAAAACACTACACTAAAACRTGAATTTTAAAACATTTTACTTTCATTTTAAATATGTTGCTGAGGTCACTCACCTCTGATTTCAGTTTTAACTCGTTTTCTCTGGAGGCACTCAGGTGTTGGTTCAGTTCCTCATTCTCATGGGCAAGCTAAAAACAGTTTAAAGATTTCACGTTTTTATAAATGAGTTATTATCACACAACAAAAGAAAGAAACGTACATCCCTGCAGGATCATTTAAATCAGGAAACTTTTTTCCGAGAGGGCCAAAATAAAAATGTGTTTTAGCGCTGCGAGCCAAAAGCAATAAAATAAAACAAGAAATTCAAACACTTTTATAGGAAAGTGCTTTTATTTTTCAGGATTAAGCTAGCAGCCAGTGCAGGGGCCCATGTTTATTTTAATTTTATTTTTCAGCCTGTGCACTTGGAGGAAGTTTGACATACGCTCATGCAGCGTTGATAAAACATGGCATCAAAATAAAATAATCATGTGTAGGGGGTTGTAGCTGCCATGATGTTCAGGTTATTTCCCTTTTTACAAATTTCTAGTGTGTTTGTGTTTTTGTATCCCTCACCCCCTTGCAGCGAGCCTGCAGGTCAACAATCTGAGCGAGCAGCGAGCTGATCTCCTCCTGCTGTCGCAGAGTGTCCTCTACTTTCCGTGCCAGCTCCTCGGACAGGTCCACCACCTGCTTGTTTGCAGATGCTAAAAAAAAATTAAAATAAAATTCATGAATACAACTGCAGCTCACATGACTTCCTTTGACAGAAGCAGGAACGCTGCACTTACAGAGCTCCTCCACACACACCATCATCAGCTCCTGTTCCTGCTCCTCGTAGTTCGTCGTCTCCGTTGAGAGCTCATTGGCCTGTTGAGAAAAAATGTGATCAAATAAGCCAAACAGTTCTAAATATTTAAGCTTTTTACTTTAATCRATTTAATAAATATGAGTTTAAAGTTCAGTCTGTGTCACAACTTATGCACACCTCTAATCTGAGTTTGCGGTTCTCCTCTTCTAAACTCTTCAGTTTCTGCTGCAGGAAGTCGTAATGCACAAAGTTGCTGAGAGAACTGCTGGATTCGTTCCTTTTAATTCTGCACAAAAAACACAACTCTAAATATGAATTTTGTATAACAGACAAAGAGAAAACGGACAAACTAAAACTGTGTAGCGGTTTAAAATTAGCTAACATAATGCTAATATTTGCTAACATAATTAGCTAACATATGCTAATATTTTGCCTCTTTCTCCATTTTTTCCTTTTTTATCTACATGTTATAATTAATATTAATAAACTAAGCTTCTTTAAGAGTGAACTATCATAAAGGCCGTTTGTATTACTCGTGCGTTTACTTACGTTGAGTGTGCCTGAGCGTTTTCGATTTCCTCGGTGCTGGCGTAGAACTGAAGGAGGTCGTCTCGCATCGAGAGCTCATGTCGAAGCTGAGCGATCTGGATAATWATTTTATAACCCGTTAACATTTGTGATTATTTAAAGGTCAGCAGGCTAAGTTTTTGTCTGACACAACATGCATCTTCAGGAGCATTTTTACCTCCTCCTTGGCGATCTCGAGCTGCTCGTCCAGCATTTCATTTCGGGCCGTCAGCTCTTGGTTTTGCTTCAGGAGCGACTGACCGATTCGAGCTGCCAGCTCCAGATCTCGCTCTTTCTAGAAAATCAGATCGTACGTTTATTAGTTGCAGAGTCGCTGTGAATCCAAACTTTGATTTACTTTAATTTGATCAAGTTGATAAGAGAAAAATGTGCTGAAAATGCAGTGATGGTCTGTGAGGCGCAGCCTCAATCCTCTTTAATCCTGTTAATCTGCTGTCTGTGTGTCCGTCTGTCGTACCTCCTCCAGCAGGTGGGTGACCGCTTTGATGTCATGATACGTCTTGGTGACCTGGCCCACCCTGTCTGAGCACAGCACTGAGGAAGGAAAGAGAGGAGTTTAATGATTGGAGGCAGACAACTTTTCTCTCAAAAGATCTATTAAAATTAGGATTTTTTTGTTTGTTTGTTTGCATCTCTGGATTATGAGTCTAATTTTAAATCGAACAGGAAACAGGAAACAGATGCAGATAATTGCCTCCGCCCCCAGAAGTTTTAGTATCTGCAGACCACAACATCTCCATGTGGTCAACAGAATCCTCTTAGCTTGATCCCTTTTAGCCCACATAAGATGCTAATGAATTTGTTCTCCTGGACRCTAAAATAGCTCGATGCATGCCTTCACATCCACAGGACACACAAAGCAGAGAGGAAAACAGTAACTGGCTAAAGAGCTGAACTTACATCCTGAACAATAGGTTGTTTAAATCGAATTAAAGTCATTGGGACTGAACAGGAAGAAAGGATTAATTAGTCTCTTCAAAGGGATTTATTATTGCTGCAGATTAGAGTTTAAAGCAAAACAGTTCATGTCTTTTACTTTATAAATACTTTTATATTTACAACATAAAACCCACAGTTATTATTTAGCTTTTTAATAAACTTTTCCATAAATCTATTAAACTTTTAAGATGTGTACATCTTTTCAGTTTTATAAAATGATTTTTGAATCTGAAAATATTCAGAATAATTTAGATTACCTACACCGCAGAAGAGCAGTTTTATAGAAACAGTTTCTTCTTGACTGCATTATTTTTAATTACTCCATTAGACAGATTCATCTGAATATTTTCCCCCTCATTAATGACTGTTCAACAGGTCTTGTTCTTCTCAAGGACGCTGCAGCAGGATAAAAATAAATCACGTCCTCTAAAGACCAAGCTACAAATACTGTTTGTCAYTGAAAGAAATAAAGTAAAACAAACATTTCTAATCCCATTAAAAAGACCCGCTAATTAAATAATTAAGAGTGAAGATGATTACAGCTATTTTTAAATGCACTACTCACTCGTTAAATAAACATAAACAATGATCCTAATGAATAATAAACTTCATCCTAAATTATGCAGCATTTGGATCCACGGTCTTCCTGAGCTCTAAACTCTGATGTGTAACCTTCGTGACTCGGTCTATAAATTAACAAARGTTAATTAGATAATTGTTTTCCAAATCCTATTGTTGCAGCAGGGCTCTGCAGGTACAGAAATAAACCACCCCACACCCAAAATAAGAACCAGTTCACAGAAAAGTCGGGCAAATATTCAGAATGCAGCACAGGACAAAGGGAAAAAAATGCAAATTTATATTTTACATATTTTGCACTTTATTGTTTAACCTTGGAGATGAAACCTGATAAACATTATTTCAATAAAGGTCATTCAGTACACTTATTTGGTTATTTATTTTCTTACACAGGCTAATTTTTTTATGAATAAGTGAATCCATCTTAAAGCATTGGACTGCCAGAACGAATCAGAACCTGGTTCTGAAACTCAAGCTGTGGTTTTTACAGCGAGGCTGACGTTAAAGCTAAATGCAGGCTGGTGCTGTGAACCGCTACCCTAATACTGTCCCTGTGGATAAACCTGGGTGAATTACGTACTTATGACGTCGGTTATATTGAGGGAACTGGACCAGTGAAAACGAGTTCCGTCCTTAGAAGAAGATTTACACTGAAGCTTGCGGAGCTTTAGATGCTGGCCACATATTTATTCAAACGCAGGATTGAAAATGTTTATTTAAAATTAACCGCAGTTCTGAACCCTTAAAAACTCGTGTAATAACTAAAAAAAATAAAATAAAACACAAAAAAAACAAAACTAACATTTAAATGAAGCCAGTTCAAAATGAATCAGAAAATCAGGCAATAACTAAGATTTTTATTTGTATTCTTCTTTTAGCAAATCTCAGTTTAAAAAAACCAACAGACCAATACAACAAACATTATGTCCCTGCTGGTTTTGCTTTTTAAAATCATTAAACACGTCCTTCAATCTGATTACATGAAATTGTTTTCTTAAATGTTTTAAACACAAAAACAAATTAATTTGTCTAATAATTATTATATTGATTTGGGGGGGGCTGAGGAAGCTCAGTGGTCGGTGTCGCAGTCTTTTAATCCTGAGGCTGCGTCAGGAGGAGCATCTGACGCAAAATAAACCTTTCACGCGAGTTCGCTCGCTGCGGAGACCCCTGCAGAGGGGAGCAGCCAAAAGAAAAACAAAATGATCAAATTTAACCAATCACAAGCAGCTGCACAGCAGAGACAACAAACACCAAATGATGATGATTACATTAAGCCCGATGCGTYCGAGCAGCTGCAGATACAAACACAAGGACAAACGGCCACCGTGACCTTCAGAAAACCACGAGCAAATATTCAAGCTGAGTTTATTTTTATAGTTTAAAATTCTCTTTTGGAACAAAATCTTACAACAGCAGCTAAATAATTGTTTGGGAAATACTATTAACATGCATTATGTGTTCTCCATGGCATCACCCTGCTGAATCACTATTAAATCTCTAACAGACATAATGAAACAAGATCATTTTAGGATTAAATAAAAACATTAACCAACAGTTTTCTGTCTCTCTTTGCTGTAGTGCCTCTCTGCTCTGCACATCAGACATCCCCTGCCTCACATTTACATTTCAGCATCTCACCTTGTGTCACCTCCTTGCAAAGACTTTTGTTGTTATTGTTGTTGTTATTGTTATTATTACTATTGCTGTTGTGGCATTTTATATCCGTTTCCACCCTTTCGTCCCCGAGACTCTTCTCATCGTCCTCCTCAGACGTTGAGCAGCTCCACACTTCCATGGTAACTGGAGGAAAATTGTTCTCCATCTCTTGGTTCATGTCTTTATTATTCCTTGTCTTGTATTAAATGCGCTGCGTGCCGGCTGAGCTGTGGGACGCTGGTCGTGTTCCTGGCATGATGCTGCTGCTGGCTTCTGTCGAGGAGGAAAACTGCTTCGGTTYGTCTCTGTGAGGCTGTGCAGGGGAATCTGAGCTGCTGGGTGTTAATATATAATCCCTCAGACTGGACGGGCCATCTGTCGTCATGCCTGCCTCCGTTCACCTGGCCACGTTGGACTACCGGGTGGGAAAAAAGATGAAGAGGAGGAAGAGGAGGGGCGAAGGAGGATGAGAAGTCTAAACCGTACACCAGAACGCAGGACGCTAATTTCTCTTTTTTCCTTATAATAAACAGGAAGATGAGTGGATCACATTTAAATCAAGGAATAAATCAGAGTGGGGTGCAGTTAAAAAGGATGCTGCATAAACCCACCCAYCCCTGTGAAGTGAAGAAGATGGTACATCCCCCCACACACCAGTGGCTGCTCTTTTCTCTCTGCAGACGTAAGGATAGAGAGGCTCTGCGTAACACTGGTGCAGGCAGAACCACACCCACAAGGTTCTGATGGAGGCAGCCCACTGGATCTGAGGCTCAAGTCAGTATTTCCTTAATAATTAATCCAAAACACCGCTGCTGAGGGGAGTTTCAAGACACGAGCCTGTTTTACCCTTGTAGATATCGAGGGATGTTCATCCTAAATTATCATTCTTTAAATCCTTATTCTGTCTGTTTTCRGCGAGGTCAAAGACATTTTTAGTGCGTTTCAGAGAAGTGTTACAAAGATCCACACTAAACCCAGATACGAGTTTCCAACGATCAATTATTAACGTCTTCATTAAATTTTCAACATGACCTGACTCTCCTTGCAGGCTGAACAGGAGAGGCACCTCAGACAACTTTCACCAGTTTTCTGTCCCTTCAGAAGGAAACATTTCTGCTAAGATACATACTACTTGAAGTACATTTCATTTCAGAAATTCTATACGTTTTCAAAAACAAAATAAATTCTATATACAATAAAAAAATACAAATCACAAATAAAATGAAAAAAATCTTATATCTGCCCCTTTTTTCCAATAAAACTAAATTCAAACAATAATAATTTACAAATAGCAAAAACATCAACTCCTTCTCGAACTACAAATTGTATGGCTACACATTATGCTATTTCATATTTCTTCAATATACCAACATTTATCAATCTTTTAAACATAAACATTGATCTGGCATTTTTCACATCACTCTCCAGATTATTCCATAATCTTATTCCTTGGATTGAAGTGCACCGCTACTTCCAACTAGTTCAAAATTTAGGTTTCACAAACATCTCTATCCCTGTAAGTTTGTAACAACTCTCTCTCTCTTTAAATAATTTAATTGGATGTTTAAAGGTAACATGTTTTTGTGAGCTCTATTCATAACCAATAAAATACTATAATCTACCAAATCAAAAAAGGTCAATAATGTCAATTTAACCAACAACACAGCTGCAAAGGAAATGTTTGTGAGGACTTATGTAAGGACTTTGCCCACACTAGTAAACAAACAGGAGCAAAGGGTTTTATATTKCAGTCAGCTGCCAGCAACAGAAATCAAATCCAGAGTCAAACCCTCTCAGTTGAGTTTAGTTTAAAAAATGTATCAAATTACAAAAATTCAAAGATTTTATAAAGAATTGTTCTTAAAAACAAACTTACAGTTAGAACACAGTGTGAAATACTGTGCTGTGTAGATAACTGCATAAAGATTAATTAATGTTTATTATTGGTTTCATTGATGGAAGAAGGGGAAACCCGGGAAGATTATTTTACTTCCTTCTCCTGGACAACAACAGAAATAAGACCCAACAGAAGAGAAACTAAGTTCGATTTAATACATTACCAAATAATTTTTGTTACAGATCAAAGTCTTTACCTGCAGTCAAATCCTAACTAGAAATGCTCCTGGTCCTTTGGCTACTTCAGATTTCCCCCTGAGCTTGCTGATAAGAATCATTGATTTTGAAAAGGWTTAATAATGAATGATAGATTCTCAGGAGACTGAACTCTGTTTGTTTACTTCAGCCACCTGTCAGCTTTTCAGGTGCCAGCTGTGAGTGTAAATGTTGTTGAAGAAGAGGCAACAAACATGACGGGACTGTAAATTCGTAACGATCAACTACAAGAAAAGCCGAACAGCAGAGCTACATGATAAAAGAAGAAATCAGGAGTAAAACGATATCTGAAAGTCATTTCTTTAAGAATTGCTTAACACTGAACCTGAGAGATGCATCATGCCTCAGCTTTCCTCAGGGTCAGGGTTAGGCTACAGAAATGAATGGAAGTCGATAAAAGGTCCTAATGTGGGTAGAAAGACAAACATATGGAGTCTTGATTAACACCATATGCCAAACAGCTCCAAACTAAGTGTGGCACAGTCTGCATRAATCAGGTTAGTCTGTCCTGTCCCTGACGGCTCCATGTGACCCAGCTTCAGCTGGGTACAGGATTAGAAGGACACAACAATACAATCTCAAATAATCCTGTCTATATCAGCCAAGATACCACACTTTACATCAACAGATCCTTTTCAAAAACAAGWTGAAGTCACCATAAAGGTTTGAAAGTGCATGGGAGCCTTTATTATTGACTTGTTCACTAATGTTTTACAGTAAGTGCCAAGGAGGAACAACTGTCTCTGTGAAATATAGAAAATAATTGATCCTTTGAAGCTGTAAACTGGAAACAAAGCTTTATTTGCACACTTCTGTTTGCTTTAAGTTAATGAATTGTAAAGCAGGAGGCTAAAACTACAACATTATAACTATAAAGTTAAATAAATAACCTGTTGTTAAAAAGTGCCTGTGATATTGAACAGTTTGAATGATTTTTCAGAGCAACATCATGTTCTTTTACCATCTTGCAGTCTAGACAACCTCTGCATCTAATTATAAACGCTTTATGTGTCGCAGCCAAAACTGTCATTAGGATGTCAGAGCAGACGCAAGGATAGAGTCTGCTGACCTTCAGCATAAACTGCTTAGGATGCCCAAGCACAATGAGGTAATTGGTTTGATGACGTTTGACATCAGTGACTCACAAATGAAGGATTTAACCTGGAGGGGGTGGTGGGGGGGTTCATCCACAGAAAACCCCACAAACTAAACCTTTCACAGWAATTTGGTTCATTTTGTAACACGTTTAAGTTGGTTTAAACCAAGTGTGTCTCTTAAACCCCAACATATCCAAACTTTGACTATCATTAAAAAGTCCTGCTGTTGATGGAAAATAAATGGTTTGAAAAAATATGAAATAAAAATGAATGTAGGATAAAATCTGCTCAGAAATTTCATTTGAAAACCTGATCTGCATGAAACGTTTTACAATTTTAAAGTGAATATGTTACGCTGGTAGTTAGTTATATGTTAAACAGAAAGAGGCAGCAGTTTCTCAATGTATTCAGTTTTTTTAACAGAAGCTTATCAGTGGACAGGATGTCCTATGTTGCTCAAAAACTGCACTTAAAGTCAAAGTGGAAATAAACGATAAAAGAAAACTGTTCAAATAAATTATCTTAGAAGTATTTTCTACTTGATAACAAATAAAAACATAACTTTTACAAATGAAAATACTTGTGCTTTTGCAGAAGCAACTCTAAATTTATAAAAATTCACTCAGAAGAAATAGACCCATCACATCAAAATGAGGATTAAGTCTACAAGTGGGATGCTGAGAAATAGACAGATAGTGTTTTGATGAAAACATTTGCAAAAATTGCATTTTGTCAAAATATAACAAATAAGTGCCTCATCAAAGTATTATTTGAATTGTCTGAAATATAATTTAAAAATGTAAGCAATTTTTGAGCATTAGCAACAAAAAAAAAAACTGATTTTGGGGGGAAAAAAATTAAATTTTTTAGATATTCTCTGTGAGTTAGCAAAGCTTTTATTTCTTTCCAGCAGAGAAATCTCAATATTCAATACTATTTGAGGTTTGTTCTTTATAAAGACTTTAAAAATTCCTCATTAAAATGACTTAAAAATAGGGTTCAGACCAAATATTTATGCATCAATTTAACCAACAAGACAACTTACCGGTACGTCATATTTCTAGATGTGCTTATGATATCAGRATGATCGAAGTATCAGGAATCTGAAAATGTGATTAGGTCATTTTGACCAAATTTGACTTAATCCTTGTTTCGATATGATGGGTCATAATATTTATCTTAGCAATAAAATTATTCCAGAAGTTTTTGGTACAATTTTTGCAAATAAGGTAAAAATGATTTTATTGATGGCACCAGTAAAACGCTTCAGAAGATGAAGCCTTAACAAAAAAATCAATTAAAAAAAAAACATTACTCACAGAAGTACTTGAAAGTTTCCTCAATCTGCTCATGTGTGAGTCCCAGGACGACGACTGGTGGCAGCAGAGGGGTATGCAGCCAGTCGTCGTTGTCATATCCAAACACGGTGTCTGCTCGAAGYGTGTAGTTGGGTTGACCTTCTGACAGCAGGCTCACGATCTCCAGCTCCGGCAGGTCCGAACAAAGGTCTGAATGTGGACAATGTTTGAGTCATTTAGGAGCAAGAAAACCAAGAAAAAAAAAAGAACATGGCAACTGGTTTAAGACGATGTTACCATTAATGCCACGCTGCCCTCTACTGATGAGTTTATGCACCTACAACGTGCTCCTGGTGCTGCTCAGGCTCAAAGTTGGGTTTGTTTTTACCATCTGATTGTTTGGATTAATCCTTGTGAAAAGAAGAATACCTACCAGTTAGAGTGGACACGTCATGCTGGGACCGTTTGCCCGGCTCGCTGAGATTCCCGACTGAAGCATGCTGAAGAGGCTGGGGGTCCGCATCCAGGGCCCCCGGTGCCTCCCTGTGCCCCTCATGGAGGGATAGTGCTGACTGGGTGTCCAGAGGGGCCTGTGTGTGCCAGGAGGGAGGAGAAAGACCACCGGGAGGAGACGATGGAGGAGAGGACGCAGGGTGGGACAGCTTGCCTGAGGTGAAGGGTTCAGAGCTGAAGACAGCCTTGAGACTCTGGCGCCCTCTAGTGGTTCAGAGACTAAAAGAAGGCGACTCGGTCTCACTGGACTGGCAGGTTATGGATGTCTAGACAGAAAAATTCAAGAGGACAAAAGAAAGAAAGACAAAGAAGAATATTTTAAATGATGTGTTTGATTACTGCCAGAGAAGAGCTGTGTGTTTTTATAAACACAACAGTCTCCATTAAATGCTTGGAATATTCAGTAATATTTTATGTTACATTATACAATAAAATACCTTCAAAGTCATTACACAAACACGTTTAACAGACTTGACTCTTAAGATTTACTTTTTTAAGGATACAAGTGTTTTTTTTAATAATACAGAATTTAATAAAGCAGGTTGTCATAAAACAAAATATGTCTGATTATCAACTGCAGCTCATACAAGATGTGGATGTTGTGACATTCTGTTTATTTTTTTTACATTTATACAGTTTAGCCCTGTTGTTTTAAAGTTCAGTTTAATTTGATTCAATTTATGACTTAATTGATTTTCTGGTCATTATGAACAACAGATTTAAGAATGTACATTTGTAAAACTTGCTTATAATTAAAAATAATAATAATAGCTTGGCTGCTGTTTCTGGTTCTCTTACTGACGTCGGTGCTTTTTTTCCTCAGAAGACAAAGTTTCCCAGCATTTGACCTTTTTTTATTATTAAACTGAATAGCCTATAAACAAAGCAGGGCCTGGCCTCGGGTCTGGGTTTTAGGGTCACACAGGTAATGTTACCACACGGGTCAGGTTCTCCAACAAAACATTGTTCTCCTGTAAACACGACACAAAATAAAAGGAGGTGGATGTTGTATAAATATACACAAAACTGTTAGTCCCTGGAGCTACAGCCACTGCTATAAAATGCCAGTTAGGATTTGTTTAGGGATTCTCTCAYGTACCTAACAGAATGGATCATTGGATCGCAGCAAACGTGCTTTACATAAAACAGAAACAAWTACATAAAATTACACAGCATTTGGTAGTTTGATTTTGATCTGCAGCTTTTTATTTTTCAACTTAGAGACAGACCAGAAACATACATGTTGGATTCAGTGGTAAAACTAAATTAACCCTGGTTATGAATGAGAGTGAAAATGATTGTCTTTATGAGTCCCTGTGATGGACTTCGCAACGTGTCCAAATTTTGTTTTGTTTTGCGATGACTCTATACTCACAGTGGAAACAGCTGAGCAGTCCACCGTGTGTTACTATTAAAATGATGCCTCTCTCATTAATTGACGTTACATAAAAGCTTGACGCTCTGCCCAGGCTGCCAACAAAGGGACATTTGATTCTTCAGCCCGGTTATGGCGGTCAGTAAAACACGCAGGCCAGAGGGCAACGGCTCCAATAAGGCTCTCGTGACAAGATGAGTGCAGAAATATGGCAGTTCAGGTGCTGCTGTTTGCATTTTACCACATTTACATACGCACACGCCGGCCTGATTCAACAGAAATGAAACCCCTAAACAAATAYAACAATCAGCAGAGGCTCTTTTTGATATTTTCTTCTTTACTTTTAATCGGCTGAGGGATTTGGTTTGTGGCCAACATCTCTGATAATCTTTGTGAAGATTAGAAAGAGGAGATTCCCACTAAAACTCACTGTGGGAAAATAATGTTTTCATTTAATAATAAAAGCTGTTAATTCCTAAACAGAATAGACCATTTTTCCACTCTGTCAGTTTAGCGTTTACAGAAAGACCACGGTGGGTTTTAAACAGAAGACCACTGAGATGCTGAGACTTAAGGATGAAGGTAAAAGTCATCTCCCCCTCCTTTATATTCTTGTCCTTTTACTGTTCCAGGCAGGTAGCCAGCAGGGAAAGAAAGTCAGCTAAGTAGTCAGCTATAGGAYATCTTTCAAGCAGAACGTAATGGARCTCCAGAGAAGACTTGTGCTCYGAGCTCCAAGACGGCAACAGAAAAACAGCCTTAAAATGTCATTAGGGATTTCTTTTTTAAAGTTCATCCACATGGAGGACAAGCAGGACATTTAAAGTCACCACCAGAAGTGAGAAGTAACTAACTACAGTTACTGCAAGGGAGCAATATTGTGTTCTATTTTTAGCCGTTTTTTTTAAACATGTACATTGGCTTTTACTCAAGTATTTAGTACTTTGCTACAATTTGAATCTAACTTTTTACAAAGTAAAATAAAAAARAATTAAGATCCATTAAAAAATAAACTGGCCCTGCAATCACAAGAATGAGATGCACAAGTCGGGCTGCAGAAGTGCAGACACCTCAGAAAACAAATCTATCAAATTCTGCTGAAGCTGAACTAATCAGAACAAAGTGATGCTTCAACATTTTTTATAAAAAGGACCACAGATTATTCTATTAAAACAGAAAAACAGGTGCTGACTTTAGTACAAACAAACCTTTACTGTGTTTTTAATCGTTGTTTCTTTGACATCTTTGTGAGCTAGAACCATTTAATTAAAGAACTAGCATTCTAAGGGAATGCTTATCGCCCGCTAATCCTGTGATATTGTGAGACGTCACAGAGTRTGTTTTAGCACAGTATCTGCAAAACTGAAAGCAAATATTCCTAATCTTTGTTTACTGCTAATGTCACACATTTTAGTTGCTGTTTCTTTTCTCTTTTAACCTGATACACAAAAAAATCCAATCTAAAACAATGAAAAATCCTGTATTTTGATAGCTCTTAAAGGAGTCTAAGTAAAGTATCAATATAAGAATAGTTGTGCTCCTTCAGTAAAATGTGTGCCTTTCAACTTTGTTCATTACGTAATAGAAATGAATCAGCTGTATTGTAGGAAAGGTTGCAGTTTCTGGCTGGGAGTCATGGCAGAGCTGAACCTGAGTAACACAAGCAGAAAACCCTGCCTTTGACCTTGAAGCGCAGACTGGGCCAACTAGAGCTCCGCTGGTTCTCTGAGGCTTCCAGGAGGGTGTGTACGTGAGCCCAGGCACACAGGACACAAAAGACACACAGGACACGGGAGGGGGAGGGACAGAGGACGCCTGCATTCAGGGTTTGTGAAGAGCGGGCAGCGTCTGAAAACTATTCATTTTTTCATTATTTTTATTCATGCCAGCGTTGACACAGTAAAAAATAACTCCCAACTCTTATTATTAGGAAGAATTAATTTGTTTGTTATCAATAAAAGCAGCAAAACGGTAAATTAAATATTGTTTTAAATACAATGAAATCTGCAAAATGTGGACATCAGAAGTGAGGTTCAGTTTTTCTGTTTGTGTGCAAACGAACCCCACCTGTAAGGCTCATCTGCTGCTCAGACACTCCTCAGGACAGCTGATAAGGTTTTGCCCACATGACAGATCCTGACAGGTTGATAATTYAGTTCTTTTTAATGCAATATTGATGAAACCCTGGGTTTGTGTTTACAAAACTACATTTTCAAGCTGCAGCTTGTGGGTACAAACAGATTATGTAATGTGGAACCTCCAACTGGCACAACTTGGCAGAGTGGTGAATAGAAAGTAAGTTCAGGGAAAGTTTTTAGAACACAAAACAAATCAGAACTGAATTACTAGGAACTGTGAGCTGCAAAAAAACATTTAAAAGTTTTAAAAGCCAATTTATTCAATTCTTTTAGGCCCAGTCACACTATTAAAATTTTCACAAGTTGGCATAAGTTGTCTAAAGCAATAGTGTGACAAGGCCTTTAGTTGTAACCCCACCCATAAAAGGAAAAAAAATCTATTTCCTGATTTTTTACTTCATAAAGTTTCTCATATTTTTCTTATTTTGCCATAAATAAAAAAATGTCATGTCATCTCACATCATATAAAGGCCCTGTCACACTATAACGTTTTACACAACTTATGCCAACTTGTGAAAATTTTAAAGAGATCTACGTTGAAGATGGAATTTAAAAAAATCAACTGGAAGCCTGTTTTAGGCATGTATATACCATAATGCTATAAAATAGATCAAATACATAACTTTTATTAGTAATTTATACAAAAATAATTTCATAAGTTGGCATAGGTTGTCTAAAGCGTTATAGTTTGGCAGGGCCTTTAAACACACTGAAGGACTTACTATTTTATTTGCAAAGTTTCAGGGGTCAAAAAGATTTGAGTGATGCTGATTTAATCTTTAACAAAGAAGGAAGCACATAAATTAAATTAAACAGTCCAGATATTAATCAAGGTCTATATAGTTTGGTCTTCATTACAAAAAGAAAGTGATAAAAAGTCCTCAATGTCAAAGTAAAAATCACATTTTGACAGAGTAATACCAATAAATAAAGAACATGTCGTTTAAAAGAAGGCAATGCATAAATATTCACCCTCTTTAATGTGACTGTCATAATTCAGCTCAAAGAAAGTAAAGTCAGGGAAAGGAGACAAAAGGATTTCTGAGACCCAAAGCATCCCCAGGAGTTCTAACATCTGTCATGAAGACATGGGAGGATTATAAAACATGTGTAAGTCTACCAAGAGCAGTGAATGTGGGAGAAGCCAGGGAATATTGTTCATTTGGTCATGATCCATACATCAAGACCACAGGTGAGCGTTGGAACATAAACAGACCAGTAAAGCCAGAACTTTGCTTTTTGTCTCAATTTTTTCTTCACCACAACTGACCAAAGCAACACCCTCATTACTGATGATGAGGCCCCGATTCGTTAAGGCTTCGATCTGTTACAATTTAAATAAAACCAACAACGTCACGTTTTGAGATTTAAAAATGTGCTCAAAATCTAAGATGAAGGAACTGCTTGCATAAACTGCATGGTGTCCCACATCTGTTCATTAAGATTATTATTAGAACCGGAAAGTTAACAATACTGAATAGAAACTCAGATTTCCTTTGATTTTTTTTTCCTTTTCTTCTTTACAATCTAGTAAAACGTGCAGGATTAGCAAAAACCATCAACAGAAATACGACCCTGTGCTGCTTTAACACAACTTTCAATTTCTTCAAAATGTCTTTTTCTGAACATTTCCCTCCAACTAAAATGATCCAAGACCCAAACATTATGCTGCATTAAATATTTGAGCTTTATCAGT